TTAACTTTAGTAATACAATTTAAATAGTTACTAGGCAAATTTTCATAAAGAGAATAATGAAGAAAAATAACAAATAAACATTAGTTGCTATGTATTATATTCATATAGTTTATTATAACGTTCGAATAAGTCAATTTATTGATTCTTCTTGAATCATATTTTGACCTTATTCGTTTATCAATCTTGACTGTTCATTGCTTACCTTATTCATCACGTATCTGCAATTTATTCATTTACTTTGGCTTGACTATAGATAGATGAAATTGAGTTGGCTTATTCACCTTCTTCAATTGAGTATCATGTTGTCATGCTTCATTTTCTAATCAACGATTGTATGAAATAGATATGGAGTTAAAACTTCATTCTCGTATTTAACCTATTTAATTCTGTTTATTTACTAACGCGATTTAAGGCAATGATGATATAAGAGAATTGACGATATGTATATATATATTCGTTTGATCTAATTGGAATCAACTGTGTAGGATCACAAAGGTGATGAGCCCGTCGACGACGAAGAACCCAACCCATACTTCCCCATTCCATACTTTCAACGAACAAATTCACCGAATGCAGCTCAATGGATACACCAGTCCATTTAAGACTATAGGATCAAATGGGAGAGAGAGACTATGGGACCACTAAAGTGTACCTCTAAGTATCTTATAGTGTAGTATGACAATACTTTAATACTAAGCACGGTTAATTTTCTGTTTAACAACATTCTATACTCTGTCTAAACTATTCACTAGAATTTCAGGAATCCATTTAAAACTCAATCTTTTGTAAACATTTTATTATCCTTAGGTTGATCAGCTCATAAAGATTTACTTGATTTCTGTTATATCTAGAGCTTAGATTCTTAATGTACTGCGTATAACTTCAGAACTCGAACTCTAGAACACTCATAAGTCTCAAATGATAAAATATAAGACAAGTGAAAGGAATATTATTCCAAACAGTGTCAATTATAGTACAAAACTGTCAAGTATTTATAGTTTTTTAGTAAAAATGGAATCATCATTATAATCCTCCAATCTGTATACAGTTTGTTATGAGCATTTATTCAATAGGGAAGCTTTATGTAAGGATTCTGGAATATTCTTCCAAAAAAATGATTGAATGGAATATCTTCAACATTTTCAAATCTTCTTAGAACTTCTTCAAGTTCACCCATAGATTGTCCTTACATATTCTTACATCATCAATGAACAAGGAGGTTCAGATGCAGACGTAAAGATGAGGATTGGCAAAGCAAGGACCGTATTCCTACAATTGAAGAACATATGGAACTCAAAACAACTTTCAACCAACATCAAAGTCACAATCTTCAATACCAACACATTTCTACTTCACGGAGCTGAAACTTGGAGAACTACAACAACCACCATCAAGAAGGTGCAAGCATTTATAATTAGTTGTCTACGCAAGATACTCAGCATCCATTGACCGGATACCATCAGCAACAGCCTTTTGTGGGAGAGAACAAATCAGCTTCCAGCTGAAGAAGAAATTAGGAAAAGACGATGGAAATGGATAGGACATACTTTACGCAAATCGTCAAACTGCATCACGAGGCAAGCCCTAACTTGGAATCGTGAATGTAAGCGGAAAAGAGGAAGGCCAAAGAACACATTACGTCGGGAAATAAAAGCAGATATGGAAAGGATGAATAACAGTTGGAAGGAGCTGAAAAGGATTGCTTGGTACAGGGTTGGATGGCGAATGCTGGTGAGCGGCCTATGTTCCTTCACGAGGAGTAAAAGGCGTAAGTAAGTAAGTAAGTTTGGGTGAACTAGCGAGTGTTTATCTGATAAAATAATACAGGTAGTGATAGTAGTAGTAGTGGTCACAGTAGTAGTAGTAGTGGTAGTAGTAGTAGTAGTAGTAGTAGTAGTAGTAGTAGTGTGGTGTGTTCTACTTATATTGACATAAGTAGTAGATGATGTTAGTCGTGAACAGGTCTGGCAGCAAAGAGACAAGAGGATCGAACCGCGAAGAATGGAAACAGGATGCGATTTGTATGAAAATGCAAAAACAATGAAGTCTGAGTCATTTTAAGACAAGTGAGTAAGTACATTCGATTGCCCCTCCCCCTGGTGTTCTTGTTCACTACAGTGATAGTACACATTGTATTATTGTATTTCTATCTTTCTCATTACATTTTTTAGATCGATATAGTTGATATTATTCAAAGACTATTGAATGATAAACCATTAGAATTATTATTTCAATCTAATCAAAAGAAATTCATCTTCTATCATCTTGGCTCATTTCTTAAACAGAATATCATTCTATCCAATATAACAACTATACATAATAATGATAATAATCCTATTGTAAATGTTTCTATCATACTTTGTTTATGGTCTATATGTTCCATAGATTATTTAACTAATGAAAATGACCTAATTATTGGGTAAGTATTCAAGTGATCTATCTACTTTAAATGGTTTCTATTACTTACTTACTTACTTACTTACATACTTTCGCCTGTTACTCCTAATGGAGCATAGGCCGCCGACCAACATTCTCCAACCCACTCTGTCCTGGGCCTTCTTTTCTAGTTCCATCCAATTCTTGTTCCATTTTCTCATGTCTATTTCCATTTCTCGGCGTACTGTGTTCTTTGGTCTTCCTCTTCTCCTTTGGCCTTAAAGATTCCATGTGAGGGCTTGTCTTATGATGACGCAGTTCGGTGCTTTCCTCAATGTGTGTCCTATCCACTTCCAGCACTTCTTCCTGATTTCTTCCTCCGCTAGAATCTGATTTGTTCTCTCCCACAGTAGTAGGTTGTTTCTGATATTGTCTGGCCAACGGATCCAAAGTATTTTACGTAGACAATTGTTAATAAACACCTGTATTTTCTGGATGATGACTTTCGTAGTTCTCCAGGTTTCTGCCCCATACAGTAGAAATGTCTTGACATTTGCATTGAAAATCCTGACCTTGGTGTTGATTGACAGTTGCTTTGAGTTCCAGATGTTCCTCAGTTGTAAATATGTTGCTCTTGCTTTGCCGATCCGTGCCTTCACATCTGCATCAGATCCACCCTGTTCATCAATGATGCTGTCCAGATATGCAAAGGTTTTTACATCTTCCAAATCTTCTCCGTCAATTGTGATTGGATTGGTGCATGCTGTGTTGTATCGGAGAACCTTGCATTTTCCTTTGTGTATATTGAGACCTACTGCTGCTGAGACTGCTGCTACAATGGTCGTTTTCTCCGATTATATAATCACCATATAGTTATGATTGAAACATTCAGAAATGAGGAGTAAAGTGAATTTAATGAATTTAACTTACAGTATTGGGGGTTGTGGAGATGATTCAGTTTTTGATTGAGATCATAATCTGTATCTTACAGGAGTGTATACACTTACACCATTATGATCAGTTTGGGAACCATATCACTTAGAGTCTCCAACCATTGGTGACGATAGTCACGTGGATACCAGCCAAGTAGTCTACACCTACTAACATGGCTCAGAACAGAAAATAGTGACTTTATAGAGTGACGTCACATCTTGGTTTGTCCGCGTCTAACTTTCTTCTAACCATTCCCCAACACTCGTCAGCGTTGTGAGTCTTCTTTTAGTACTTTTTTTAGTACTAACGTATAAATCATAACGGTTATAGTGAAATAAGACAAACTCAGTTTCTTTTTGAGAAATTCAAGAGTTGTGTACTTCAACACTTTAAAAAAAAGATGATAATTAGTTCATGTACTAACTGTGTTGACTACAATTCAATGTCTTAAATAAATACACCGAAACTATATGAATGACTGCTTTTGGACGAATCTCATATGATCTTGAGAAGTATCAGTCAATCAGGGGACAGTTAGTATAGAGTAAAACAATATATTATGCAAAATGGATACACTTCTTTTACATGGTTCAAAAACTGGTCAAGGTTAGCAAGCGGTTCAGAGGGTCTAAAATCGTAATGCATGCGGCAGAGAAAATCATTCATATGGCTTCATAATAGTCGGCTTCTGGAGCTATGATAAAACTCTTTCAGTCTCGAGCACATAGATTCAATATTGTTTGTGTGCATTCTGATTGTTGGGTCCATAAAATGCTACTTGTGGATAACGACACGATGCACATAACCAAGTTTATTTAGACACTTGTACAAACTCCAATCATTCATCAATATTATAGTACCCGGCTGCAGCTAGTGTTGCATATGCTTTTATTATGCAGCTCACAACAACTGTCATGATTTGCCTTAGTCTCAATCTGTATCGAGCGAAAAAGATCCTATTGTAGCAGACTTCTTCCTCTACTACATATTACATCGAAAGACAACATTATCACAGTAGTCTGTACAAGGTCCACAAGTTACTTGATTATTACAATCACAAGTAAAGGAATTTTTCGTAACCGCTCAATTATGACGTTTTCTCTAAAATTCACTTTGAACCAATTGTACATGAGTATCAAGTACTGAAATGGGCACTGTGATCTTGAAATCCTTCAAATGCTTCTGGTTGCCTCGTTCATAAATTATAGTGTCGCCGATTTTTTTGCCGTACTATTGATCTAATTAGGGTGTTCATTTTGTTAAAACAGCATCTTTATCAGTTATTGATTGACTTCTTTTTTTGTAGTTCTCAGAAAATCCATACTGAAATTATTGATTTAATAGATAGATACAAAGAAAAATTATTGATTACGTACAAGCTTCAATATTTTTATGATCAAAAATTGTTTAGTGATGTAAGTGTAACATTTCATTATCAATTATATTATGTTTACACCAATTATATATCTGCTCGAAAATGCCCTGGTACGGCCAAGAATGGGGACAGTTCGCACTCCTTATCGAAATGCTCTCATTTGGCCACGCGTATATAGCTTATGCTAGGAAAGTCCTACTCACTGCCTTCTCGTGGCGAGGGTGTTGTTTACAAAAATGAGAGGACGAAAACCGAATGTCCGGCGCTTTAACCAGATTCCAAACCAATGATGCACATGGACTCCAGTATCCTGAGGGAACGAATGGTGTATGAACCAATTGTTGGTTATCGGCTTCCATGGGAGTGCATCTCTTTACGATGCTCCACTGCCTTGTGGATCAAACCTTTGGGTCGAAGGCTCGGGGAGTGGCCCTCTAAGAAAACCACCTGCTTTGGTTTGGACACCGGGGCAGTATCACAGCCCTCATACATATCAAATGAGATTTGTGTGGCGTATATGTATTTGGTGCCTCCTTGTACCAATATCTATGTGTTAAAATAAATAAAATAAATAAATTATATATCTACATATAGTACACTGGATTGATGTTAGTCTCAGGAAAGTTGGTCAACTGATATTTGTCAGTTGAATGTACGTTCAATATTGAGGGAAATTCTACATCCCATAAGATTTGAACTTCAATTACCCTGTTCACATTCTCAGCTACTAACACTAAACTATTCGAACATTTACTAATCTTGTACTAATCACATTTTATCGATCATGTTTCAGTTTAGTCACTAGTCAAATTGATTTAATAGATTATCCATTATGCTTTGATATTAAATGGTTGGAAGTATGTGACATTAAAGCTTATTCTATAAAATATATGATAAATATTTATGAATGAACAATTCAGTCAGATCGGTCACACAATATCGTCAATTGATTGAAGTTGGACATTGCCACTATTGGATGTCGGCTTAGTTTGTCTAAAGGTTAAATGTTCACCTACGAAATTGAAATTTTTAAGTTCGAATACCGGGTGCGGGATCATGGAGTCCCATAGTAAAGTGAAACAGCTGCTCAGGGCTTCAAGGTTTTCCATCATGATCTAGCTTAAACAAATTCATGAATTCAACCATTAAAGATATCATTTTACCATGATTCCTGAAAAAAAAGAAATTTCATTACAAACTAATTAACTTGGAAAATATCTAATAAGAAAATATTATCAGTTTCGGGGTTGTGGAGATTGTTAAGTTTATGATTGAGATCATGAACCGATTGATGTTAGACCACCACAATTGAAAACCTGGAAGCACTGGACGGCCAACTCGTCCGATTGTGGGATTCCTCAATAGTGCGCATCCACGATCCCACCTCACGAGATTCGAACCCAGGACCTATCAGTCTCGCACACGAACGCTTAATCTACTGGACCACGGAGCCGGCCCTGGGTTCGAATCCCGAGAGTGGGATCGTGGATACGCATTGCTGAGGAGTCCCACAATAGGACGAAACGGGTGTCCAGTGTTTTTAGGTTTTTAATGGTGGTCTAACATCAGTTGGTTCATGATCTCAATCAAAAAGAAAATATTAGTCAGATATTTAAAATGTGGGTTTCTATTAAAAGTTTTCTCATAAGTAGTTTTTTTATTTTTAACTAAAACTTTTGATGGTAAAACTTTAATCAACCATCATTCTAAGTGTTATTGATTCAATTAAAATTAGATTAAACTACTCATTAATATAAGCAAAAATGAATAGTGGCTAACAGTGTAATCCAGTTTGATGCATGTTTCGTCCTATTTGAGACTCATCAGTTGGAGGTGCCTACATATCAGAGTTGATGTTCACTCCAAGGCTTGAACTCAGTACCGTTCGCTTCAAAACACCATCATATTATCTACTTAGTTATTCAGTTCTAATAGTCGCTTGCCTGTGCAATGGGGTGAAGTTTTTAACTCATTTGGTATTGTTTATTTGAACTGATGTTTAGGACTGCAATTGATTAGTAAACAACATCAAGTGAATTCGCTCATTAACATATTCTGATTAAAATTTATATTACTAAAATCTGTATTATTCTTTTATAAAGAATAAACAAAGTTTTCATATGAAGTTTATATTATAAACTGAATTCACTATGACTGGTAAGATTACCATAATAGTGAACGAGAACACCAGTGAGGGGACAACCTAATGTATTCGAACATAGAATTACAGAACGTCCACTCTATCCTCTACCTTCCTTTCCACTTCTATCCAATTTTCGTTCATTCTTCTCATGTCTATCTCCATTTCTCGAAGTAATATGTTTTTTGGTCATTCTTTTCTCCTCCTTTGGCGTTGAGGATTCTAGGTGAAGAGTTTCCTTCTGACTCAGTTGGTTGCTTTCCCCAATATGTGTCCTATCCGCTTCCAGCACTTCTTCTTGATTTCTTTCTCCACTGGAATCTGATTTGTTCTCTCCCATAGTAGTAGGTTGTTGCTGATAGTGTCTGGGTAAACGGATCTGAAGTATTTTGCGTAGAGTAAATTCTAAGAACCATACAATAAATACATCATTTTCAAAATGTCAATCAATCGTCTCAGACCTGATTGTTCATTCTTTTTCATATCATTCATTCAATGTTTTCGTTCTCTTATCTTTGATCTTCTTAACCTTCTGTCGCCAGGCATTTCATTTTCGAGTGATGATACATACTACTAATATCTGTCGATATCAGTA